GGAGTAGTGTATTCTAACATTTAAATCTTTTTCTATTTTCTATTTTAAATCCCTAAAAAATACATCGGAAGAAAACTTATTAACAATATGGTCAAGAACAGGTAAAAGCAAACAAATTAGTTTTTCATCTATTGTATAAGATTTAAAAGGGTGTAACCTACAATGAAAATGGGCGTCTTCAAGTTTATTTATAATTTATTCTAAATTATTAGCAAAAGCAAATTTATCTTCTTCAACTCTTCGCATACATTCTTTTTTATTTATTTGTGATTGAATATGTAACGAGTATGCCTCAGGTTAGTGTACACGAAGTGTCAGTCGGGCACGTGACCGGGCGTTCCTGTGTAAAAATAAGTCAGTCCGCCATCTTGGTTGTCTTCTGTTATGGTGGCTGGTAAATAAATAAGTTTGTAGCGGACTCTGGTATGTTCCTAACTTGTTTCATGGTGTCAGAAGTGCAAGGCATCCACAAGCATTTATGAGCGACGAAAGTAGCGACGGTCAGCAATCTTCAGCAGCTGCGAACATCACAACATCGGGCGGTTCACCTTCCACTTCAGTAAACATGGCTAATTTTCAGATACCTCCTCCGGACATACTTGAGCTCAACGATGGATCTTTAGCCTCTAATTGGCGCACATGGGTTGCTGCGTGGAAGAACTATACTTTGGCTACAAAACTCGACAAAGAGGAGGAAGCTCGTCAAGTTGCAACTCTGTTGGCGGTAATCGGGAAAGAAGCAAACAAAGTGTTTCGCACCTTTACCTTTTCGTCACCAGATGACGCTAAGAAAATCGAGCCGGTCTTAAGGAAATTTGAAGAGTACTGCATACCCCGGGAGAACACTATTTATGAACGCTTTCTTTTCTTTACCCGGGATCAGCGTGAGTCAGAAACTATCGACCAGTACCTGACAGAGCTTCGTCAAATCGCGGCTAACTGTGACTTTGAGTCAATCACACCTGATCAACTTCCCCGGGATCGATTGGTGACAGGTGCCAGAAATGCCAAGGTACGTGAAAATTTGCTAAAAGAGAAGAAGTTGACCCTTGAGAAAGCAGTAGATATAGCTCGTGCTGCTGAGAGCACTGCCGCGCAAATGAAAGTTATGTCATCGGAGTCTGGAGTGTTTGCAGTGAAAGACCAAGAAAAAGGTCAGTCGGAAGGTGTTGCTGTTGTCACCGAAGGTAGGATCAAAGATTGCAGATTTTGTGGTCGGAGTCATGAGAGACGTAACTGCCCTGCATTTGGACAGATTTGTGCTTATTGTAAGAAGAAAAATCACTTTGTAGCCAAGTGTCCAGCTAAAAGCAAGGTGTCAGCTGTGCAAGAGCGTTTTTATTTAAGTGTTGCTGGTGTTAGTGGTGGAGGTCGTGAGATGGTGACTCTCACTGTATTTAAAGATGACAAGTCTGCCACTGGATATGAAATTCCCTTTTTGATGGATACTGGAGCTGAATGTAATCTGTTACCTGTTGATGTCTACAAGCAAGTATCGGGTGACCAGCATTTAAATTTTCTGTATGCCCGAGGCAGATCTTCTTTGATTTTAGCTAATGGAGAAGAACATCCGATAGAGGGCAAAGCCACCCTGTTTGCATCCCGAAAAGGTCGGAAACACCAAATTGAAGTTAATGTGGTAAAGGGTGGTGGGTATGAGCCCATCCTCTCAAAGCAAATGATGTTAGATATGAATCTAATACAAATCTTAGATAGCGATCATCTCGGAGTGGTAAAGATACACAGCGATCCGTTGTTGGACGAGTATGCTGATGTGTTTGAAGGGCTTGGAAAGCTAGCTGGACAGTACAAGATAACAGTAGACGAGACCATCAAGCCTGTGGTTCACCCCCCGAGGCGTTTACCCGTTGCTATTATTGAGCGAGTCCAGAGAAAACTTGAAGAAATGACGACCGATCGTATTATTGAAAAGGTGAACCAACCGACTGATTGGGTATCCAGCATGCTGGTGGTGAGCAAGCCTTCTACTGAAGCCGATGGAGAGTCTAAGATACGTATCTGTTTAGATCCCAGGGACTTGAATGTGGCCATAAAGCGTGAACATTTCCCAATGCCCACAATAGAAGAAATTGCAACCAAACTCAAAGGGGCAAAAGTGTTTAGTGTATTTGATGCCAGCAATGGTTTTTGGCAGGTGGAATTAGAAGAGGACTCCAGTTTGCTCACAACTTTCAATACTCCCTTCAGGCGCTACCGATGGAAAAGAATGCCCTTTGGAATTAAGAGTGCACCTGAAGTCTGGCAGCGCAAAATGCGAGAACACATAGAGGGGATGAAAGGAGTCGAGGTCATTGCAGATGACTTTGGGATAGTTGGCTACGGCGACACACCCACTGAGTGGCAAGCTGACCATGACCGAAATGTTCGTGCCTTCTTGGACCGCTGTCGGGAGCGAAACCTCAAGCTAAACAAGAATAAAGCGAGACTGAAGCAACACGAGGTTCCCTTGATTGGCCACATTCTGACTCCACAGGGGCTCAAGCCAGACCCCATGCAAGGTTAAGGCGATTGTTGACATGCCAGACCCCACTGATGCACAGTCACTGCGTAGATTCCTGGGCATGGTGAATTATTTGGCCAAATTCCTCCCAAGATTATCAGAAGAAACAGAAGTATTGAGAAAGCTCACAGAGAAGAATGTTCAGTGGCGTTGGTTTCCTGTCCATACTCAAGCTGTGGCCCGTGTTAAAGAGATGATTATATCTGCCCCTGTTCTAGCTTATTATGATGTGACAAAACCGGTGGTCATTCAGTGTGATGCATCTAAAAGTGGACTGGGCCCTGCCCTTCTACAAGAAGGGCGCCCTGTAGCTTTCAGCTCCCGTGTGATGTCCCAAACTGAACAAAACTATGCGCAAATTGAAAAAGAGTTGCTTGCGATAGTTTTTGCTTGCGAAAAAATTTGACTAGTATATCTTTGGAAGAAGTGATGTAGTTGTGGAGTCAGAACACCGACCATTGGAAACAATATTCAAGAAGCCCATCCTGAACTCACCAAAACGCCTTCAGCGTATGCGACTTCGTTTACAGAACTACGACATACAAGTAGAATATAAAAGAGGAACCACCATGTTCTTAGCCGACACGCTGAGTCGCGCATACTTGGAGAATGAGCCAGAGAAACCGGCCCCACAGAACGACATCCGTTCGATAAAGGAGCGAGTTTTTGCCCTTGAGTTAGAGCAGATAAGACACGGTGAAGAATTGAGCGTCTCCCCGGTTCGTTTAAAGAGATTACGTGAGATGACAGCCGAGGATGAAGAATTACAGATCCTAACCCACGTTATTGGGGACGGTTGGCCAGAGACCTTGGCTCAAAAACAAGTAATTGAATTATACTGGAACTGCAGGGATGAACTGACCACTGATGATGGATTGGTGTACAGGGGTCAGCGTCTAGTAATACCTGCAAAAGAACGCTCTAACATTGTTAAGAGCCTGCATGAATCGCATGTTGGGATCGAGGGAACATTGCGACGGGCCCGCGATATTGTCTATTGGCCTGGAATCACAGCCCAGCTCAAAGATTACTTATCAAAGTGCGGAATTTGCAACAGTTACCGGCCCGAACAATGTAAAGAGCCTCTAAAGCCCTATGATGTCCCTGACGTACCATGGGAAATGGTAGGGGTGGATTTGTTTGTACTTGAAAGGCAGTCCTTTTTAATAGCTGTAGACTATTATTCTGGATATTTTGAGGTACAAGATATGAACAGTACTACGAGTAATCGTGTGATTACTGTTTTGAAATCATGGTTTTCCAGGCATGGAATCCCAATGACCTTAATTACTGACAATGGACCCCCATTTAACAGTGAGGATTTCAGGGCTTTCAGTGCAGAATGGGACTTTCGTCATGTCACTTCGAGTCCTTATCACCCACAAAGTAATGGCCGTGCAGAAAACGCGGTCAAGACTTGCAAATCTCTGCTGATAAAAGCCCGTGCTGACAAACGAGACTCCTTGCTGGCGTTACTTGAATGGCGCAACACTCCATCTGAGGGCATGAATGCGTCTCCCGCTCAGCTACTGTATGGTCGACGAACACGCACCCGTCTCCCAGTTACCAAGTCGTTGCTAGTCCCACGGGTGATTTCTGATGTGCCAGAAAAGATCAAGTCTAGGAAGCAGAAACAGAAGTTCTATTATGACCGGCACTCCCATGAACTGCCTACATTGCGTGAAGACGATGCTGTAAGAATGCGTTTACCTGGTGAAAATGAATGGTCGCTTGGACGTGTCATTGGAGAAGAGGGTCCTCGTTCCTTTTGGGTAGATGTGAATGGAAAGCATTACCGCCGCAACCGCAAATGGCTCAGAGCAACCCCTGAGGAAGTAGAGCCCACAGTAACAATCCAAGACCTTACAGAGCCTTCTGAACCTGGTGAATCGAGCTCAGCTGATGTGTCACTGCCGACAATGCCTGTATCAGCGGAAGTTCCTGAACCATGTACAACAAGTCGTCCAGTGCGTGAGCGTCGGCCTCCAGCTTGGTTAAAAGATTACGAATGTGGACACTAAGACTTTGGTTTAGAAGGATCCTTTACTTTGAACAGATCTTTTTTTTGTTTTTTGTTGTTGTTTTTTTTACAAAGATCCTTTGCTTAATAGATCAAGAGTATTTCTCGTTAGACATTTTGTTTGTTGTGTTGCTGTTAAACTAAGGAAAGGAGATGTAACGAGTATGCCTCAGGTTAGTGTACACGAAGTGCCATCCGGGCACGTGTCCGGGCGTTCCTGTGTAAAAATAAGTCAGTCCGCCATCTTGGTTGTCTTCTGTTATGGTAGCTGGTAAATAAATCAGTTTGTAGTGGACTCTGGTATGTTCCTAACTTCTTTCAGAATATACTTTATATCACTTTTAAAAAACTCTAGGGGTAAATCACCAGAGTAGTAATAATGAGGAATAATAATATCAGGTTTTACTTCATATTTATAACTATTACATCTAGTTTTAGAATCCATCTTTATTTAAACAATCATTTCTTTAAGTTAATATAACTGTTCCACCACTTTTCATAATTCACCAGAGTCTGTGGGAAAATCTTTAGATAAACTAGTTTGCTCTTTTCATTTGCCATTTCTTCCAGGAATTTCTTAATTAGATAAAAAATACTTATCATTCTCTTTCTACAGAATTGATTGTTTAATATTTCCATGACGTGTTCGTCTATATTCATTAGTTTATTGTACAATTCACAATTTTCATCCTCAGCCAGGTGAAGACTTTTAGAAACTTGATCAACCTTTTTCTCATAGTGATACTTTCTCTGATAAATACTCTTCTTTCGAAAATGAAATCGATCGTACTCTTTCAAGTCAAAATAACCAAGAACATGACAATTAGTTGACCCACAAGAATCACAAATATTATAACCTGATTCAACAAAAAAACTATCGCTTTGACAATTCCTACATCTAACTTTTCTATTCTCATCCTCTACTGTTTGTTTATTGTAATTCTTTAATATTTCTAAATATTTTTCTATTTCCTCTTCTGTATAACACATTTAATTATCTTAAAGCAAGTGTTTTTACTTTATCCTCCATCACACTGCGTTTATCATCTTCATTACTCAGAGCTATTTTATTAACTTCTTTTGAATATATATCATGATTTTCACTTCTTATAATTTTCATAGTTCTCATTTGCTTTTCACCAGTAAATAAACACTGGACATAGTCTTCAAATGTTAAACCCTTTTTTACAACATTTTTCTTTATACCTTTACATTTACGAACTTCTTTACTCTCCTCTATTTTAAAACTATATAGCTTGGGTCGCAATCCAACAAAATAAGTAATCTGTTTTCCTGCTACTTCATCTTCAAACATACCAATCACTTTCTTATTAACTCCTGTTAGTATTCCAGATGGATAGTCAGGAGGATAATCCGACGTATCAAACTTGGTTTCTATATCTTTTGATATATCTTTATAAAAATCATCTGTATGAATCTGATACATCAATGAGTCGGTATCTGTAAACAATAACTCAGCCCTGTGTTTATATTTCTTTTGAATATAGTTGTAATGAAAATTGAACATTAATGTTTTTGACAGATCTAGAATTGCTTGTCCAACATATACTGGTTTGTTGAAGTATACTTCAGTTTTCTTCATATGAACTGCAATAAGATTACGGTCAAATATTGTTGCTCTATCAAAGTTTGGACGACTTATTAATTTTGAAGCTTTTTCACGATTATCAACAAGTATTATATTTTGTCTTTTTCTTATGTTTTCTATTGTTTTTCCAAATACTGAATTATTCATTAGTTTAAAAAAGTCTTTCTCAAAACTGTTAGCTGCTGTTTTTCTAAGTTCTGTATTCTTTCTGATGTAAGGTTCCATCCAAGAACTCTGATTGAATGATGTTCCTCTGTGAACAGCAGTTAGTCTCATTCCCATCTCAAGATATTGTCCTAGATTTCGATAATGTACTACATAGTTTTTCCTTGGTTTAAAATGACAAATTAGTTTTTCAACACCATTAACATTCATTTTCTCAGGTGCGAGAGGATAGTCATTATGTGATTTCCATAGTTTATGGGGATATACCAAATCTACCTCAAATATATAACCTTTTTTCACTTCTGGGTTTCTCTTTTTATCCAATAAATCAATTACAGAATCTATTGTTAAATCTTTCATCCAACTGAAACCATGAGTAGCTAATGATTGCGACATTGTTCAACCATAAAGGTTGTTTGCATCAAGGTATTGAATATAAGTAGTTGGTTTACTAGAGTCGTAATTATCCATATATTTGTTATTCGCCTCTGCATATCTCTTTGATATGTGTGATATTCCTCCACGAGTACCTTTTTCAAACATCATCAGCATATCATAGTCATGCAACAGTTGTAATTCTTGACCTGTTTCTTTGAGACATGCATCCCAGGCTAGTCCAGGAGATGTATAGTAATGTGCTGGATCCAGATTGTAATGGTGGAGACAAGTTGCTCGAAAGTTCTCAAATACATCTGCCAGAAGTAGAACATCAGACTTAGGGTCAAGATCGTGATAATTACGAATAGTCTTACATACAATTAAAAGTGCTCCAAACATTAAGTGCATGTTGATAATCATCATCAGTTATGTCTTCATCATTTAGTTTTGAATAGAATTCTTCTTTTGGAGGTAATTGTGTTTGAGATACCTTTTCCATTGAGGAAACATAATCATATGGAAAAACTCCTTTACGAGTTAATAACTCTACATTTTCCCAGAATATTTCTTTTGCATTATGAAAATCATCTGGTTGTAAATTACCAACAAGATTAGCAAGACTCGTCTGAAGAAACTTGAATGAGTCAATAAATCGTATTTCAAAATACAATGATACTGTTTCTCCAGTGCGTCGAGATTTATACTCATCAACCTTAATCTTTTTAGGAAGCCTAATATATTTTTCCTCTGTCGATGGAATACAGTTTAACTCACCTGGTAAACAAGCAAGTTGTTTTATAAACAAATGTGCATCATACTCTTGAAATATAACTGGTATAATCATTGGCTTCCTACACTGGAGATTACAACTGTTATGAGCAGCTCCACGGTATTGACCAGTAAAATGACAATGATCTCTAACTTTATCAGTGAGTAATTCTTTTTTACAAATATGACAAGTTTCCGCTTTATCAAATGATATTTGTTCATCTGGTGTTAATTTAAGGGGCATTGGACGACAATAAAAATCATTATATATCTTATTTGTTACTTTTGCAAGTTTATTAACAAATATTTTAGAAATGTCATCAGTACTTTTAGTTTTTGTGTAAAGAATTGGTTCAAACTTGGTATTAGGATCTATTCCTTTGATGTATAAACAAAATCCTGATGGTTCATGTTTTTGATAATTGTAACTATAAGAATAATCTGGATTAGGGTTGCAAGTATTCACCGGTTTAGTAAAACATTCAAAATCTGCATAAACTACAAAAGGAATTGGCAACTGTTTGTGGTAATTTTTAAAACATAACATCGTGTTTCTTGGTGGCATTTTTACAGCCACTGTTTCATTGGTTGAACAGTATAAAATGTGTTTTTGTAATAATTCATTCTTAGTGTAATGAGTAAAGCATTTCTTACAAATAAATACTGTATCATTCTTACTTGAAGATATTTAACCAAACGAGTAAAGTTTTTAATTAGTGAATAATGGGAAACACCATCTTGTTCATAAAAAAAACAAGTCGATAGTATTTAAACAGTCTTTATCTGCCATCCTCAAAGGATAAAACTTTTTATCATCATTAACTGAAAAAACATTTATTCCAGTGGAAGAGACGGATTAAGTTTTTGAAATTTAGAAATGTGTTTTAATTTCATAGGAAAATAATTCCTTTGGTGTTAAGAGAATTCTCATACTTCTTTAAATCTGTTAATCAGGTATCATTTTTATCTCTTGGATAAAGATATCTCAGTACACACCAAAGAAAGCATTTCTCATCTTTGTTTTCAATATTAACTATTGCTTTTTTATTTAATATCCAGTCTGGTAGAGGAATATAAGATGACCCATTCATTGGATTAAACTCAGCAGTATGAATTTCAAGATTAAGCACTTCTTTAAAATACCATTCCACTTCCATTTTTTTCATATGTCTCTATTTGTTCAGTAATCTTTTTAATACACATATCAATTAATTTCTCCACATTTATTGATTTAAGATTAATTTGTGTGCCTGAGTTAAAGTATGCTTTATCTTCTTTTAATCCAACAACTCCCCTTTCTTTATTGAGTAGTTGTTGTTCCATTAACCAAACCAGAACCATAATAAATTTAATATTTCTATGGTATGTAAAAAAATTTCTTAAAGTTTCATAAATTTTATCAAAATATTCAACTGGAATAAGATCAGGATCTCCTTCAATAGTATACTTATTAGCAAAATTTTCAAAAGCTGATTTTTCTTTTTCAATTCCTTGTTCATATTCCAAAACAGCCCTTTCAAGATCAGAGCTTCACGAAAATAAGAAGAAGTATCTGGGGGAATTTTTTTATTCTTTATACACTCCTGAGAATACTCATCAAATGTTTTTGTTTTTTTTGGTTTCCTTTATTTTAATATATCAACACCTTTTTTTACTTCCTCATTAAGTTTTTTTAATTTTTTAATATCATGAATTAATTTTTGTTGCGCACCTAATTCTTTATAATTATCCTTAAGTCTTTGTTTTTGTTCTTGTAATATATATTTTAATTCATCCAAAGATAATCTACTATATTCTTTATCATTTATAAAGGGTCGAGAACCCTGAAAACCATCAATTGATTGGTTAGACATTACGTCTTATAATATTATATTTTATAAGACTTTAAATTATAATTCAAGAAAACTTTTAAACATATCTTCAATATCATCACTATCATCACTATCACTGTCACTATCATCACCATCAAAAATAGAATTTAAATAAATATAAAAATCTATAAAAATAATAATAATTTAAATAATCTATATGTAATTTGTTCTTAAAAGTACTAAAACATTCAAAAAACTTTTCAAAACCTGGATGATCGTTTTCCACATTATTATCATATTTTTCTTGATCAAACTCAAAAGAATACTCATCACAATATAAATCCGTATAATCATCTAATTGTAATTCTAAACTCTCTATAAAACTAACATCATTCTCTTTGAAATATATTTCACTAGTATCAGTAAGATACCCTAATTGCTGACCTTTTAAAAATCTATTTATTTGTCTAATAAGACTATCAGCTTTGGAACTTTTAAATATTTCTTCTTTGTTTAATTTCTTTACAAAATCCCCACATGTCTTATTAATTCCTCTTATAAAGAGGTATTCTTTTTTTATAATCTGTTGCATAATCTGGGATTTTTACTTTATTAAGAGTTGCGTTACAATTATGGACAAACTGAGCCAGACTACCATTTTACTAACTACTAACGTCAATCATGTAGACCCTCCTCCAGCTGGACATTGCATGCATTGGAACTACCAATTATTATATTTACTCATCGTCATTTTCTTTTTAATTTTCTAAATCAATTTCATTTTAATCACTGTTTTCAATTTCTCCACTCACCATCTTTGCAAACTTGTTTGCATCAACAAACGTGCCTGTCTGTCTAATCCAAAGTTATGGTGTGCGTGGATGGCTCAGCGACTACCCAACAATTTGCCCGTGCAGCTACAATTACGACTAATGAACAATTTATTGAATATTTACCTGCGTAGTAAGCGTTTCCGTGCGACCCCCTCACTTGCAAGATGCGGTAATCTGACAGTTCTGAAACAGGAGACAGAAGGTTAAAATGTGTGGCATGGGTTTTGAAATCACGGGGTTTCATAATGTTTTATTTAATTTCCTTCTTTATAAATCGAGTAAACTTTTTCACCTCATCTCAAAGCGTCATCATTTTTTCTGTATTCTTGTCGATATTCATAGACACTGATTTGGTGCCGATAGTAAACTGCGATGAGAGCATCGCTTGTAAACAATTGATCAGTTCCGAGAAAATTTTCGCTTCAAATATGTAACTCACTGATAGGTGCATGTACTTACGATTGTACAAACCTTTTCCGTCTTGTTTTAATTTTTTTGGGGGGGCTTTCGAAGTGTGCCCAAAGTGAACTGGAATGCGATCTAACTTGCTATAGCGTTCACTTTCGAGGGAATTCCCAGTGAAATTGAAAGTGAAATTAAGTGACTGCTTCGGTCAAATGACTTGACTGAATTCCTCCGAGTCTCACGGAATAGAGGGTGTTTTCTTGAATGAGTGTTTTAACTTGAACGCACAGTTCAAAAGAAAATAAATCACTGACACACACCCTAAGGTAATCTCAATCAGACTGCACTGAAACTGCTAATTCATAATACTGCTTGATCTCGGTGCACATCTAACATGATCTAAATACTAGATTAGAAATATAATTGAGAGTAAATTTTCGCTTTAACTTCTTACTTACGTTTAAACACCTTTCCGTTGGCCGTCCTGCCGTCTGTAATCGAGGCGTTGTCAGATAGTAGAGTGCCGAACGTACTGAAATTGGGATGCGATCAAATCTCTGAAGCTGCACTGCTACAGCGTTGACTATCAAGGAAATTTCGGGGAAACTGTGAAAGTGAAATTAAATATGCTATCGAGTGAATGACCTGACCTGACTTTCTCTGACTGAGTCTAGGGGAGGAGGGTATTTTCTTGATAGGGTGTTTCAAAAGGTATACACGCGAAAAATAACGAAAGAAAGAAGAAAACAACGTGCTTTTAGGGCAGTTTTGTCACGTAAAAATGAGAATTTTAAGTTAGAGATGAATCCTTAAAAGAGCACATCTCCGATTCGACCTACTGGCGATATTGGCAAATTTCCTCCTGTCACACCTCCCTCACTCCAGAATGAAAACAAGGAGATCCTTGTTCTTAATGTCACATGATAAGCTGTGTGGACTTAAAAAATCTAAATGATCTCCAAACAAACTAACAACAACATCAGCAACAACAATAACAACGTAACAACAAACTAAATTAGTAAACAAAGAAGCGAAGGATTGCTGAGGGACAAGGTTAAATTGCCATTATCCAGCCGGTGTTGCGTTCCTGATTTAAGACAATCCGCAAACCGGAACTCGAGAAATTGTTGCTTGCGGAATCCGGAATGCTGGGGTTTGGAATCCAGAATTCTGTTCAAGTAATCGCTCGGGAATCACACAAACGATTGATAATAATAATGGAAACTTTATTTGTGTTTTTGAATGTACAATTGTAAATCTCGCTACGTATAGGCAATTTACAAATGCTGCTTGAGATTGGATCATTAAAAAGAGAAAACAAAAACAAAAACAAAACAAAAACAAAAACAAAACAAAACAAAAGCCAAAAAAAAAAAATCAAAATTGCATTAAGTCTGGGCTATCCCAGTTCCTATTTCTACAACAAAAGATATAATATGTTGCTCTTATGGCTATATTTATCATTTTCTTGATTATATAACGTTGCTGCTTTTTGTCGATGCCAATGTCATTCATCATGTCTAAGAACGTGGAGCTTTCATCGGAGAAAACGCCAAGGGAACTCATGGAGAGATTTACAAATCTCATACATCTGTAATTTCTACTCATTTCGTTGATCAAGTTCAGATATTTTTCTTTCTTACGCACTGCATTGTTGTTAAGGTTAGACTCGAAACCAACTGTTAATTCTAGAACATATAGGCACTTGGACTGGATTAGACAAAAGAAGATCTGGACGATAATTTTCACCAGTTATTATTGAGGGTTCAGAAAACCATTAACATCTGCATAGAGTGCAGAGTGAATGTTAATAACAGGTTGAAGTGACTTGGCAATGAAGTTAAGGATTGAGTCGTGTCGCCAGGTAAAGCGATCAAGGTACTGTTGACAACCAGCGACAACATGAAGGAGTGATTCAGGATTAAGGCAAAAGGAGCAATCAGGACTTTGTGCTAATCCCCATCTTGCCATATTCTTACGTGTAGGGAGGGAGTTGTTGATGTAGCGGATGGTAAAATTGTAAATGTTCTTGGGTAGATGAGACTGGGCGTCTGACCAAATAGAATTTACAGATGACAATGAGTACTTGATAACATTTGAGAAGAAGAAACCTTGAGATGTTAGGTGGTGTTGCAGTTTATCCTCTTGATTAGAACGGAAATCTTTAAGAACTTCCTTAGTGGATTTGTACACAT